TTATGATAGAAAGTCAGCACTCTGGTAGGTACGATGGTCCTTCTCCGAGTGAACGGAATTACAGCAGTCTTCTCAGGAGCAACCCCAAGTGACTGTCCCGGTACCATTCATCAACGAACCCGAGGCTCTGTTAATGTGCTCTAATAACAAGGCGCCGACCATAGGATGGTATCATAGTATCATCTCTATCCATCTAGAGCCCACGTGCTTCTTGATATCATCTGCCCATCTCATTTGTCTTTTTATTGCTCTTTGGGTTTTTATGATTTTGTCCATATTTGCTTTTGTAAATGTCCACGTTTGGGAGTCATACGTAAGAACAGGGAGTACGCATTGATTATATACTTTGATCTTAAGATGCTGTGGATATCTTTTGTTTTAAGAATGTAGCTTAGTTTGCCAAATGCCACCATGCCAGTCTAACTCGTCTCTTGATCACTGCTGTTTGGTTCTCTTTGTTAAGTTTTATAGTTTGACCAAGATATATAATCCTTAACTTGTTCTATTCATAGTATTATGGCCACGTTAAATAAATGCATCATTTTAAAAATTCCAGCGTTCACCGTCAACGGTACAATAAATGCATTATTTTAAATGCGAGCATTTACTTCACTGTCAGTTCTATGATGATCTAGGCGAGGATAACATGCGATGATCTCCGTAATGAACGCATCCTTAAGTGATCTCGTGTACCGTTCCAGGGAAGAGCCCTTAACTAGTATAACTACGTCATCGGAAGAGGCTTGCGCATATAAACCTTGTTTAAAAATTCGCTGAAGAAGGCCGTTGACCACCACGCACCACAGCAGGGGGACAAAACTCCTCCCTGAGGAAAACCAGCTATTTTTTTTATTACAGTATTTTTCTGTATATTTTTATTCGTTGAGTAATTTTGAAAAAAAAGGAATTTTTTTTGAGAAATTCTTCGTTAAAACTAGGATGTTTTTAGAGAGGATGAGTTTGCTACTTTCTTCGACCCATAAAATATAAGCGGACTTTATTTTAGTTATGATTTATATATAATTTTGATGCAAATGCCTTTACTAGTGTCATTTTAAGATTTTTTTTTATAATTATGTTTATTTACAATCTACATCAAAAAGAGTATTAAGTAAATGTGATACGTTTTGCGCGTGAAGGGGAGACATCCAATGATGTCTCACCTTATTCTACTTTGGTTTAGTTCTGAAGAAGGTCTTGGGGCCAGGTTCTATGTAATCTTCTTGTGGCTGGTCCATTGTTGTATAGTTCCCTTACTAGCTTATTTTCGTGGTGAATGGTACGTTCATTTTGTGACTCCGTGGCTCGATGAATTTCTTCTCTGATGAAAGGAACCTTTGAGTCATAATGGAGTGTTTGGTTACTTACGTACCATGGCGCATCCACTATCGATCTTAGTACTTTAGACTGGAATCTTTGGATAATATTCAGCGACGTTGGCTTTGCACAGCCCATAGGTGTAGTCCGTAGAACCAGATAGGTTTGAGTATGGCTTTGTATAAAAGAATTTTGTTTTGGATGTTAAGTTTTGATTTACGTCCAAGAAGCCAATACATTTGCCGGAGTTTTAAGTCGAGCTGCCTTCTTTTGGTCTGGATATGTTTCTTCCAAGTGAGTCGTTGGTCAAGATGAAGGCCAAGGTATTTAGCGTCTGTTACTGTTGGTATTCTTATATTTTCCATCCTTACAGGTGGGCATATATTGTGTCGGTTGGTAAATGTTATTTATGTTGATTTTGTTTTATTTACTTTTGTTCTCCATTTCGTATACCAATCACTGAGTATATTCAGATGATGTTGCAAGTTTTGTGAGACTTGTACGGGATCTTCATTTACGGCTAGTAGTGCTACGTCGTCAGCAAAGGAAGCGATTGTAGTATTATTGGTCTCTGGTATATCGGCTGTGTAGAGTGAGAAAAGTAGAGGCCCTAGAACACTACCCCGCGGGACTCCGGAGTTGATAGGATAGAGGTTGGATTGTTGGTCTTTGAATTTTACAGAGAAATATCTATTTGATATGTAGGATTTAAGTAGGAGGACATAGTTACTGGATAGTGCTATTTTTACTTTGTAAAGCAGACCTCTGTGCCAAACTTTGTCAAACGCTTGTGAGATGTCTAGAAATACAGCGTTGCAGTATCTCTTTTCTTCAAGACTTTTTGATATTTCATTTATCATTCGATGAACTTGTTGGGTAGTGGAGTCATTTTCCCGAAAACCAAACTGATGTTTTGGAAGTAATGTAAGCAATTCATGATCTGCGTATATCCTTTGAAGTAGCAATCTTTCAAAAACTTTGCTTACGGTTGGGAGTAGGCTGATAGGTCGATAATATGTTACTTTATTGGGCTCTTTTCCTGGCTTAATGATCATAATGACTTCAGCAAATTTCCATATTTTTGGAAAGTATGATAAGCTTAGCATGCGGTTAAATATAACTGTTAGCAAAGTTATGGTCTTGCGAGGAAGTTGTTTTAGTACTTGTGCCGAGATTAAATCATAACCTGGGGCCTTTCGTGAATTGAGTTTGTTTATTTCTTTCCTGATTTCTATAGGAGTAAAACTTTTAATTGGGAGTGACATTTGACATGCTGCGCTAATTAGTTCTTCCACTTCTTCATCAGGGTCTGCTGGCTCTGTTTGAAATACGTTTATAAGATGTTCAGCAAAAACGTCCACTTTTTCTTTGTTGGAACAGGCCCATTCGCCATTTGGTTTACGGATAGGAGGAATGGTTGTGTATGGTTTCTTTAGCTTCTTAGTGGCCTTCCATAACGTCTGGTCATTTGCTGTAAGATTTGTAATGTAATGTTCGAAGGTTTCGTTGTTTGCGGCTTTGATGGCTACTATTGTAAGATTTTTAAAAAGTTTTTATAGGTTTTCCATGAAAAACTTTCGTTTTCTGCTTTAACATAATATGTTTGGATTTTTGTATTCGATGAATAAGTCTATTTTCGAACAACCATAACTTTGTTGATATTAAGTTTCGGTAATAATAATGAACAAACCTTTCGTTTTGGTAAGGTTCATTTTATATCGAGACAATTTTCTAGACAAAATCTAATTTTTTTGAGATATTCGGGAAAAACCGTGTAAAAACATGCTTTCTTGACATGTAATTTGTGATCGTTCAGTCACGAATAACTCTAAAAATATTGAATCATCGAAAACCTCTAAAAAACACTTTTGTCTTAAAATTCACTTTTTTAACGACTACCACGGTTTTTTTAAATAAACTTTTTCTACCCACAAGTTGGGGTGGTAACCACCCCGAGATTAAAGGATTTTTATCTTTGAGCTATTTTTTAGCTATTGTCAAAATTTCAAGCAAATCGATGCATGTAAAAAAATTCAAAGGTTTTTTACTATTTTTACTGTCATATACTTTTATTTCCAGGTTGTGAATTGGTGATAAATAAATTAAACTTTTTATAAAAGGAGGTTAATCTCTAATTCCATATCTAATTGGAGATAAAATTTCAGTGTTCCTATTTAGTAGTCTGTCATAAAAAAAATAAAGACATTGAAGCTTTTTGCAATTCACACTATTTTGCGACTAGTTGTCTACTGTTACATCTACTAGTAACATTCGTTAATAATTGCTGTGGTCAAATAATTTTTACTTAGGTTCATCAATAGTGTTAAAAATATTGACCTAACCAAACTTTACTATTGGGACCGTGCAAGTTCGGAACAGCGACACCTGGTGTCGTAAATCAGCAAAATTTACTGCGTTTTCATGTTAGATCGAGGTAACCGGATAACTGTCAAGGACGTGGCCCCAAAAAAGAATAAGAAGAAAAAGTAAGATTGAGGTTATGTCGGTATGTTATTAAAAGGTAAACGTTGTATGTAGTGTAAATACAAATAAATATATTATTAAATTACAGCATTACTGTTAATATGGATGCAATAATAAAAACTGGATTTGAGAAAGTAAATCACCAAATAACTTTTCAACCAAGCACTGAGTCAAATCGAAAAGCTTTAATAATGGCAAATGTCAAAAAAGAATGGAAGAATTAAGAAAAATAAATTACCATAAATAATGCTAATGCATAAATTAGCAGGTTAAGCCCATGATATCATCATATTGGTTTGAACAATTAATTCTTTCCCTGTAAACTTTTGGACAGCGAATATATCTTAATGCATCTTCAGAAAAAACTTGAACCTGATGCATTTTTGTAAACTTCAAAAAAATAAAATTTAAACATTAAACTTGATTTTTGGGTTAAAATGAACTCTAAGTGAGTGTTATGAAACTAAAATTTACACTTAAAAGTGAACTTTTATTAATTATTTATTTTAAACTGACTTTAAAATCGGGCGCAAGAATAATGCATAATTTAGGTTATGTTACTTATGCTTTTTTATGATATAAATCCACTTTTCTCTTTGTAGTAGTTTGTGCATCGAAGTTGGAAACGAATAAAACTTAAATTGACAATTTTTTGTTGTATTTTTACAATTTATAACACAGCATTTGATAAATCCCATTTTCTTCAGTGACAGAAGGTGTAAATAAACAAACGAATATGAAATATGACAATTGACAATATGAATTTATGAAATCTATGAAATTTGCAGTAAAAATGCAAGATTTCTCTGTTACTCGCGCACGATCATTTCTCGTATCACATCCAAGTACTTGCACGTCGCCAATAAGTACAACTTCTGTCAGAGGCGACTAGGCTACTACCTAGCCGTAAAATAAGTGACGTAACAGCCTTCTTAAATTACTATTTTTTATGGATCTATACTTTTTTGATATATAAAGAATTAATTCTCAATAAAAAAATATGCCCTATTGTGGCCATTATTTTTAACTCCATATTTCTATATTATAAAATAAAAAATTGTGTTACTAAAATCTGAATCAAACTCGTGTTACAATACACTTTGCAGAAGAAAGTTCGAGAATCTCTGCATTGACGTTGCCTGCGCAGGCTGTGGTTGAAATTTTTTGAATAACTAAAACAATAGATTAAAAAAATATCGGTTTATTTACATAATTTTACATTGTAAACGAAACTATAACATAAATTAAACAAGGTAAACAATATCACTTTTTATGTTTAATGGTAGAGTTTTCCATATCCTAAGTCCAACCCGTGTCCATATGAGAGAGGAGCTCCATAAGAGATGGGAGCAGCATGGGCGATAGGAGCTGCGTATGAGATCGGAGCGTGAGCAGCGTATGAGATAGGGGCCGCTAAGGAGATAGATTTGCTCAAAATTGGAGCGGGAGCTGAGTAGATGGGAGCAGCATGAGCGATGGGAGCGGATAACAAAGGTGCTGAGTAAGATTTAGCGATTAAGGGAGCGGATAAAAGTGGAGCGGATTTCAAGATAGGGGCGGAAAGGATAGGAGCGGCGTAGGATTTGCTGATGACTGGGGCGGAGTAGGAGACAGGAGCAGAGTAGGAGAGAGGAGCAGAGTAGGAGAGAGGTGCAGCGTAGGAGAGGGGAGCGGAGTAGGAGATTGGAGCTGGAAGGATTGATTTGGAGATCAAAGGTGCAGAGTAAATTGGTTCAGCGATGGTTTTACTGATGATTGGTGCGGAGTAGCTGCTGTAGATTGGTGCTTTAGCCAAAATAGGGGCTGGGGCCAATTCTAGTCCTCCGTGGCCGTCCAAAAGTGGATCGCCTAAGCCTAAGAGACCTCTCTTTTCTTTTTTCTCTTCAACAGCAGCGCATACTGCGAAAACAGCTACTACAAGTACCTGTAATCAAATAATGATTCATAAGTAATATGTTGTATACATACATAATTAACATGTGGAACAACATGTGCCCATGTTGCTGCTTAATTCTTTACAAAAATTCTAACGTTATGTTAGGTTGAAAGCAATTAAAGCATGATATTTGGTTTGGTTAGTTTAAAAAATACCGCTTTATAGGGATATAATTATTTTTAAACATAGGAACGAAATCATTTTTAGGGGATCCAAAATAAGGAGGACAAAATTGGATAGCACGATATCACTGCTGGAGCATGAGCAGCGATCAAAATAAAGGAATACGTTAAGTAAAGAGGGTTACAGGTTTGCTTAATTCGCTTCGTGGGTCTCCCCTCTATTTACAATCACGTGACATGCTGTCAGATTTGTGAGGACGTTTTAGTATTGAGTCTTATGGGATTATTTTGTTAAACTTAAATATTTTATTTTGTAGTGTTAATATCCGGATACAATTTTTAGAATTAATTAGTTATCTATTTATAGTGACATTTATAGTTCAACAAAAATATTTTTTGTCGTTAATAAAGATTTCTTAACATAATCTACGAAAGTGAAGTTATATATACATGATCAACCAATGATCAACATCAATGGTACAATGAATATGTTCATTGTACCATGCACAAAAGCGTCCTGATAAAATTTCGAGCATCGCCACCATGAGCAGGTCAGTCGATTTTACTTTGACACTTTGTTAACCCTCGGAGCGAATACATGTATGAAAGTTAAACAACCAAAAGACCAAATCAGCATCTGAAAGCTTGTGTATAGAAATTAAGGTTCAACCATGTATCTGATATAGATATATAAACTACTTAAGAGTACAAAAAAATATGGAAAAGCGTAAGATTAATATTAGTGTGACCTAAAATAGAAATGTATGTAGAAATCTATCAGAGAAACAATTCTTACAAGGGACTAAATACAAAAATAGCCACACAAGTAAAAGAATGGGAATAACTGATAACAGCAATAAATATACTGAACAAACAAAATTAAAGACCCTTGATTTAAAATATAAATAAAGAATAAAAAAAAACAACATAAATATGATTGCCAACGTTTAACTAAGTTGCTATCATAAATCAACAAAATTAAAAAAAAGTTATACAATAACTATAAATATTAATATCAGACTCCTAGGATGACATATTTTCCAGTTTTTCTGTATGACACTGAGAGATAGAGCCTCGAGGAAAAAGATACAACATTCCTAGATGCTTTATAAATGTTATGTTAAAGAAAAATGCATAAAATGATCTAGGAGGACACAAGAACAAATGAATAAATACTAGAATAACTAACTATACAAGAAAAGACTAAAAATATTAGCATCAAAACAAATAACAGATTATTTTGGGATTATATAATGGATCCTTTAGTCGGAAATGTTAGTAAAATATTATATCAATGTTGGACATAAATCGTCAAAAATATTCAGATTTGTTTTTTAATTTAAACCCAACGTTAATAAAGATCATCAGTCGGATATTATGTACATAATAAATTTTAAAGACTGCAATTCAATAGATATATATTGGACAAACAAACTAATATCTACATAGAAGAGTTATTGTACACAAACATAGTGTAGAAACCAACAAATTAAACACAACAGCCTTAGCCAAGCATTCTCTAGAAAATAGTTTTGATAAAAAAAACAAAACTACAAAAAAAGATGCCTATTCAACATAATTCATATAAAAAAAGATCAAAATGCTATCAATGATAAGACTAATATCAAAGATTTTTCCAGAATGAATCATAATTTAATAAATTGAGCTGTTTTTTAAATGCACGATTGGCAAATATTTAAAATAACCCTCTAAACCACTCGTATTTTGAAGAGCTATGCAAATAGAAAAACTAAAAGATATTATGAAAAATTAATGGATCAGAAGCAATATCAAATGACGTTGACAAGTCTCTAAAACTAAAATGAAGATTGGCTCGACATAAAGAACTCTATGATGATAAAATAAAAAGATTGATCAGATATGTACAACAAAAAGAGAAAGAGGTCTATGTAAATGAAATGGAGCTTTGATATTAAGCAAACTAGAGGTACAATGTGGAAAACAGAAACAGAAGACAGGGATAGTTGTAGACTAATTAAAGGATAGGAATGGAAGAGACAGAATATGTACATACATATATATATATATATATATATATTATATATATATATATATATATATATATGGTAATTTTGAATAAAATGTTAAGGTACTTACCAAGAATTTCATTTTGAAAATGTTAAGTTATAGTAATTCCAAAGAACTCAAAACACGATACGGTTGAATGAACAAGCGATGTGTCTATGTTGAATCTTTGGAATCCCATACACTTTATATAGTTTGTGGAAGGGTACCGTTGGATTTTTTTCGTTATGTGTTAATACCGGTGAACTAGATCAAGAATCACACGTACAAATTGTTTCATATTGTCAATAAAAGGTTACTTTTACTTATCTTGATACCTACGTCTACCTACTCTATGCAGAAGAAGTGTCGCATGTTCATTACCAAATCGATTACGAGGTGAATATTAGTAAGAAGTGTTTGTTTTCGTCGTTGTTAACATTGTCGCTTCAGTGTCGATTTTTAAAGAAGATTACTTTATGTAATACTTGCATAAGGTGCCTTAGTTTTAATTGGATTTTTCACTAATTGCTTTTGTTCATTAATCATTTATCTCTTGAAAGCTATCTTTAATCAACAATATTTTGGAAGTGGACCACAAATTGTAAAATAATTGTTATTATTAACTATGTTAGCAATGAGGAGACCTGTACTAACAATCTAAACTAATCATCTATTATATGTAAATAGGGGTGACAGATTTCGAAGTTTACAATTAAGAGGTGGATTCCAAAAGATTTTAAGTCAAAAAAGTAAAGTTTTCAGGAACGAATTCTTGTTTCAAGACAATTAAAAGTAAGATTTGAACACAAAATCATGGCTTTTTAAGGAGTTAAACATTTGGTTTGCCGCTTAAGCTCTCTATATCTATGTTACGAGGTAGATCAGTCCTCATTTTCTTTATTTAATTTTTCCTGTTATTTTTCTCCACTGTTTCCTATCTCTGGTTTTTTTCTCTCCGTTGCCGTATGCCCGACCTGTTGAGATCATTTGTTACTTCTTGTAGCCATGTAGATCTTTGTCTTCCATGTCTTCTTGTACCAGCTGGTGTCCATTCCAATATTGAAAATATTGTCGTAGATGTCCTGATCTCCATATTATGTCCTAGCCATTTTGCCCTTTGCTGTTTTATTTTACAAACTATATCCTCTTTAATTTCGTTTAGTAGTTCATGATTCGTTCTTTGTCTATATTGGTTTTCATTAATTTTTATTGGTCCTAATATTGCTTTTAGTATTTTCCTTTCTAGTATTCTAAGTTCTTCCTCTTGTTTTTTGTCATGCTAAGGGTTTCGGCAGCATACATCATAGTCGATCGAATTATTGTTTTATACATCTTCATTTTCGATTTCTTCTTGTCCTTCTTATCTTCTTTTTTTCGGCTTATTTAGTCTTCTTTCTCTTTTGGTTTATCTCACTTTTGTAATTAGAATTTATTTATACACCTAGGTGCAAAGAATTCGGTCCATGACATATCTCGCATTTATTGCTAGTTTTAAAACTTGGGACTTGTTTTATGTCATATATAAATTTGGACAAACTCTCACAGAATTACAATAATTAATTTCTAAACAATCTGGTTCCAAGGCTGTACATTGTTTCATTGAGCAGTATTTGTTTTTATGATTGGTAGGTTGCTAACCTGGTCAATCACCCTCCACATTTTACCTGTACTTGGGACCGGCTGTGGTAACCGCAGAACTACTCAATCCACCCCGCAATCACCCCAGGCAGTGCACAAAGACCAACACAAATATACAATATACATTTATCCAAATATACATTTAATAACAGCTATGGACAAAGATCGACGTAAGATGCCTCAACTCAGCAGGTGTAGGTAGCGACCATATTTAGCCTAGTAAAGGGTTTTCCAATAGGGACGTCCTGTTTTTGAAATGTCATAGCGGCCATTTTGAAAATTTTATAACTGTCACTTGTCGACGTTTGTATTCAGTATACTCTAACAAATTACCATGGCAAGATATACGGTTGAACAACATTTGGAAATTATCCTAAAATTTTATGGTAATAATCGTTTTTTTTTGTGAATACCTATCGTTCATTACGTGAAAGTTATGGACCAAATCATCGTCCTAATCTGCGTGTAATTCGTCAAATCGTGGAAAAGTTTAAAAGTGATTTACTCTGCGTGAATGCAAATGTTTCCGTAAATCGTCGTTCTCAAGAACTTGGACTCACCAAGAATGACAACTTGGCGAATTCTGAGAAATGATTTAGGCCTACCCCTTTATAAGATTGTTCTGACTCAAGAACTGAAGCCACTTGACCGTTTGTTCGCCCATTGGGCTCTAGACAAACTCCAAAATGATTGCGATTTTTTCAAAAAAATAATCTTTTCCGATGAACCTCATTTTTGGTTAAACGGCTTTGCGAATAAGCAAAATTGTCGTTTTTGGAGTGAAAATAATCTACATGAGATTCTTGAGAAGCCTTTGAATCCAGAAAAAGTCACTGTCTGGTGTGGTTTATGGCATGTAGGCATCATCGGACCTTATTTTTTCGAACATGGTGTACCAGTCAACGATGAAAGGATTTTTTGTTACTTCAGTTGGATGAAATGGATTTAGATGGCATGTTTTTCCAACAGGACAGTACCACATGTCACACTACTGCCATAACCATTGATTTATCGAAGGAAAAGTTCCCGGAAACATTGATTTCTGTTGATGCCAGAGATCCCAGGAGAATTCAGCAACTTCGACCAGATGCTTGGCCTCCAAGAAGCTGCGATTTAACACCGTTAGATTATTTTTTATGGAGCTATGTTAAGTCATAGGTCTAGGTGAACAAACCACAATCTATTGAAGACTTGAAGAGGAACATAAAGCACACCATTCGTGAGATTAATGCGGATATTTTGCATAAAGTAAGCCAAAATTGGGTTAATCGGATTCGTTCCTGCAAACGTAGTCATGGTGGAAATTTGAGTGATGTGTTATTCGGAACATAATTGTTATCTATTATATTTTGCAATTAAAAAATTGTTTTGATTTACTGCAATTTTTACCGTTTTTGTTTAAAAACACATCAGGACATTCTTATTGGGAGACCTCTTATTATGTAAAATAAGAATCATCCTGAAATACTTCACATCCAAGAGAGCGGCGCCAACACAAACAAAAATCAAATTCGAAGGACTAAATACGGAATCCACGGAATACTTATACAGGAAAAGAATATCAGAGAAGATCGCTGGAAATGAAATATTAGAAAACGATAACATCGAGGAAAGCTGAGAAACACTCAAAAATAATGTGATTAACGCAGCAACAGAATCACTTGGAGAGAGTAAAGTAATGAACACTAACATATTAAAAAAGAAAACACCATAGTTTAGAGAGGAAGTGAAGACAAAATGTGAAGAATAGAAGAAAACATTTTTACAATAGAGAAAACAACAAACACAACAGGTATACAACCACTATAAACGAATCGGAAATGAACCGAATACTTTAGTTAGACAAATAAAAAGAGAACACTGGCAGAGCTTCTCAAAACAGATGGAACATGTTTTCTACGGAACACAAAAAGAAATAAGAAGAATAATCAGAGGGCAAAGAAAGAGTTGAACAAACTAATAAAAATGAAACACATTCAGAAGGAAATATGGGTAGACTACTTTCGATCCCTATTTGCTAAAGGTAGCGATAATGAACCATCAACACAAGAGGTGACGACAAACGAAGAAATAAGTATTGAGCAGGAAGAGGTAAAGGGAGCATTAAAGAAATTAAAAAATAGAAAATCACCAAGAGAGGACAGAATATCGAACGAACTCCTAAACTACGAGGGACTAGATCTGACCAAACAACTATTAAAACTAATCTAAAAAATAATAGAACACAACAGAATTCCTCAAGAATAAAGATCAAGCATCCTAATATCTCTCTTTAAAAAGGGAGACAAATAGGACCCGTAAAATTACAGAGCACTAGCAGAAGAACAACAAGGTTTTAGGTAGGGAAGATCATGCACTGATGCTATATTTGTAATTATATTTGTAATTAGGCAAGTGCAAGAGAAATCATTAGAATAAAACAAACCGATATATCTATGTTTCGTGGACCTTAAGAAGGCATTTGACTGGGTCAAATTAAAAGACGTTATCCACTTACTGTTCGCAAGAGAGATACCTCTAGGAATAATCAAAACGATAGAAAATATCTACCAAAACAACACAATGAAAGTAAAAGTAGAGGAATAACTAACTGATCCTAATGAAGCTAGCAATGAGATAAGACAGGGATATTCACTGGGCCCTTTATTGTTCAACCTGAAATAATAAAAAAGTATGAGCTAAAAAAGGATACCAAATGGGAGAAAAACAACTTAAAATAATCTGCTATGCAGACGACGCAATACTACTCTCTTAAAGTAAAGATGATTTACAACATATGCTGTACTAATTTATTATAACAGCCAGAAAATTTAACTTGTTAATTTCCCAAAAAAAATGCATGGTTACAACAACAAATTTACTAAGATGTAAATTGGAGCTGGAAGGTCAAATAATAGAAGAAGTGATGAGTTTAAATATCTAGGCATTATCTAGCTACGGAAAGCTGGAAACTGAAGTGAAAGATCAAGTGAATAGAGCAAATAGAGCCGCAGACTGCCTGAATTAAACAATATGGAGAAATAAAAATGTCGGGAAAGAAACGAAAGGCAGAATTTACAAAACAGTCATCAGTCCAATGACATACGCTGCAGAAACAAGTCCTGACACAGAGAGGACAAAAAGGATGTTAGAAAGAGCAGAGATGAAAACACTTAGAAAAATTGAAGGTAGGGGAAACCGGGTGAATTCTGCGCAACTAAGGTAAAATACTTACAAAAAGTTTCCTATGTGCAAAAAAACTTTCATAATTTAACTACTGAAACTTGTATCTAATGGGAACGTTATTCCTATAAAAAATAGGATTAAAGTTTAACGGATTTTTGAAGAAAAAAATTTACTTTAAAAAACTGTCATTGCGCGGTATTCCCCTAAGTACGGGGTAATTCTGCGCAGAATTAAATAAATCTTTATTCGAAAAAAAAAATTTATTGTAATAAAGCAAATATTGTAAAAAAAACAGATTTCTTAAAGAAAAAATTGAAAAAAAAAAATATTAAAGCGATAATTTTACTTTCTGACTGTCTTTCGTTCGACCTTAGC